TCACATCCCTAGTGGGGCAGAGCAAGACTGTGAGATTTCATCATGCTACTCAAAATAGTGTGTAACTTAAAACTTATGAATTGTTTATTTCTTGAACTTTCCATTTAACTCTTTTGGACTCCATTAACTGGGAATAACTGAAATCTCAGATAACAGGACTATTATAATCTTTCTCACTTTTAAAATGATGGTAATAATATGTGTAGATTGGGTTATTGTGAGTTTTAGAAAGCAAGTGTCCACTTCCTCTACATAGTACCTGGGTTTTGACAGCCAGAAGATATTTGAACTGGGATGTCTAATAGGCACCTCCAATTTAAACAGCCAGGAATAGAACTCTCCTTGTCTCCACCATGAACACATTCCCTGGTGTCAGCCCCCAGCATTCTTGTGTGAGACGCCAGTGTCTTGCACCATGCTTTCTCCCTGACTACTGTCTCTTCACTGCTGCTCTGCAGTTTGTTCTCCCTGAAGTGCTGGGGGAGAGCGCCCTCCCTATCGTTTCTAGATGCCCTCCCAGCCTTCTCTGGCAACTCACCCTCCAGCCTCTGTGCTATCCCAGACACCCACTGGGACTGCCCTAGGACCTGATGGAGCTATGCTAAGTGGATCATGGTCTAAATGTCACCTCCAAAAAGGCCTTCCCTGAGCAATCTCAAGCCACCTGGGTTGCATCGCCCTATTTTGGATCTCTAAACTTAGCTGCCTATTCATGGATTTATTACGGCAGTTTTGACCAAGTGCGGGTGAATATAGATATATATCAATCAAAAGAAATTTTGAAGCACTTTTATTTTTTTAAACAAAAATTTTCAATTCTCTTGTGTACATTATGCAGTTCATTGGATGTGGAGAAGTTCTCAGTCAGTTCGCATTATCATCAGTTGCGTTTTAATCATGTGATCTGCTGTTTCCCCGCCCTTCATTTTGTGAAAATCTGCCTCCTAGAAAGCAAGTGGTGCCCAAAAGCAAGGTAAAGATAATGTGCTTAATTGAAGTAACCGAGTGACAGTCTGAGATCTGTTGAGAGGCAGCCATGTCTTTAGTGGACGTTGGGCAGCATTAAGGAAAAAACAAATCCAGCATCTGCAGTTAGCACTGAGTGCTGTGCACCCTGAGCGTGTGCTGCGTGGCCTCCAGGCTGCTCCGTGCAACCACAGTCCCAAGATATCAAGGGGCTGCTGCGGTGCTCATTACCATTAGGAAGGACTTTGTCTGGCCTGCCACTGCCTGTCCTTTTGTTACCCAGCGTGTGAGACACTGTCATCTGTTTACCAAGTGAATGGATGCCACCAAAAATAGCAATTTCCATTGTTACCATTCACATTGGAGTGTGTTTGCATGAGTTACAGTATTTGTGTGTTTTATTTAAGTTGAATGAGAATTGAAGGTTAAAAATAAATTTAGGAAACTGGGTGCCAGTGGCTCACGCCTATAATCCTAGCTACTCAGGAGGCAGAGATCAGGAGGATCACAGTTCAAAGCTAGCATGGGCAAATAGTTCGCAAGACCCTATGTTGGAAAACCTATCACAAAAAATGGGCTGGTGGAATAGCTCAAAGTGTAGGCCCTGAGTTCAAACCCCAGTACCACAAAGAAATAACTAACAAATTTGGGGGATTAGACATCAACTGTACTAAAACATAGACCCCAAATCCAGGCCTTGTTTATCTTCTCTCCCCTATTTGAAGACTGGAAAGGAGTGGCTTGGCTTCCAGCGACTGTGGAAAACTGCCCATGGGGTGACAGTGGGCTCTCTTGCCCCTTGAGTGTGCTCTACCCACACAGGTTGTGCGTGCTGTGCCATTGCCTGTCCTGCCTGATAAACTCAATCCAGAGTGAAAAGTTCTTGTCCTTTCTTTTAGATAACTTGCAAAGCCTGCCCCTGCTGACATGCCACAGCCCTGCTGAGGGGTGCAGATGAGAGGTTAAAGATGAGGGCTGCCTTCTCCTTCTCATGGGGCTCTGAGTTATTTACTTTGCTTTCTGTCCTGTTGAGCTCTGCCTTAGCAGGAGCCCTGCTCTCTCTCTTTCTGAACATGCCCACCCAGCAGTGGTGTAGAAGATCCACCTAAACAGGCCCATGACTAGGAATTTTCAGCCACTCTTCCACTGTGTAGGACAGAGCTTCCAGGGTGGAGCCCACAGTAGGTCCAAAAACTAGTAAATAAGACAGTCCCAGAGGAGGAGAAGGAGGCAGCGGACAGAGCACTGGCTCACCAGCTTGTGTTGAGAAACAGTGACAGGGAATTGCTTTGGTAAATCTGTTCTCTTATACCTTCAGTCCCATGGATGAGCCTGAGGACACTTTTCACTCTCATGGTGCTTTCTGTCTTCTGTTCTCTGAAGATGCAAAGGAAAATAAACATACCCTTGAAGAGTTCACATTCACTGAGGAACAGGCGTATAAACAGCGGCTGACAGCTCACTCAGTATCGTGTCAGTCAGTAGCTCCCAGCTGCACACCCCAGCCCAAACTCACACTGTGGCTATCAGGCCCTACCTCAGGACCTGATCCCCAAGGCTGAACACACCCAAGGTCACACTGATGACCTCCCTTCCCCACCTTCCCTAGTCTCAGCCATCTCTGAGAGGGGCATCTCCATGGACCCACAAGCTCATCACACTTGCTCTGGACCCCTCGTTCCACTTTCCCCACACCCCTCATATTCTTCTTTCCATTTCCACCGTCACCACCTTGATGCTAACTGCTGCTCTTCCAGACCTGCTTTGCTGAGCCAGCATGTTCTTTACAAATGGGAGCACTTAACAGGCGCACCCTACACACATAATACACTGAGGTTGTCTGTTGCCTGAAGGATAGAACCCATCCTAGCATGGCCTACTGAGTCAGGAGGATATGCCACAGCCCACCCCCCTTGTTCAGAAAGCACAGTGCCATTGTTCTCACACTCCAGATGTAGGCCTTTTTAATTTAAATTCATTGTTAAATTGAAATGTGGCCCTTTTTAAACTTATAGCTGTATGACTCCTTACACTTGTGCTTGTCTTTTAAGACCTGGACTACACCTTACACCTTCCTGCCCCCAGCCTTTGGTCCTCACTTGACAAGGTCACTTTTCCGTAGAGCTCAGCTCACACGTCTCTTCCTCTAAGGAGACTAGGCCAACTTTTCTTGTTACAGGTCCTCACTGCACAGCACATGTTCCTTTGTGGCATTTGAGGGGTGTTCTCAATCCACTGGTGTGGTTCTTGATTTGTGTCTACTTTGGCTGGATGGGAACTTGATGCTAGCAGGGACCCTCGTGGACACTTGCTCACCATTGTGCCCCTCTTGCCTGTCTCAGTGCTTGCCACATGGTGGGTGCTCAGCAAATGAGTAATGAGCCGCCCGTACCCTGTCCTCCCTGCCAACACTGCTGTCTGACTATAGGGAAGTGGATTAGTGCAGTAGAGGCTGCCTGGTTGTTTGAATTCCTCCTTCACTGCTTTCTAGAAAACTGAACATCCTCTGGTCTATTTTTTTCACATTTTTTGAGATTTAATCTACCTCAGAATCTTATAGTCAGGATTAAATGGGGCAGCTCAGTAAACGGCAGCCTGCTTTCCGCCTGTGCTTGTGGTTGGGGAAACCCTGTTCCAGAGAAAGAGGACAAAGTACTGTGTCCTTGTTGAAAAACTATGAAGCCAAGGGCAATTTCCTCTTCTACTCTAAGACCACGTTCCTTTATGCCAAGCAGGCTCCTGCTTGTGCTGTTGTACCGGGCACCTGCCCTGGAAACCCTAGCAGTCTGCTGGTGAAACAGGTACACAGACAGAAGCCAGAGTTTCCACAGTGGCCTGGAGGTGTGCTCAGTTCCGTGTCAGTACCCTAACTGCCCTGCCTGGGAGCCATGCATGCACAGAAAGCCAGTGAACTGGAATGACCTCCAAGTCATAGCACCGCTTCGCCTGAAGCGCCTCATGCCCAAGGGCCAGCTGTGGAGATGGGCCTAGAAGGCCTAGCATATAGGCCCCCACTATGGCTGTATGGAAGTCAGCCCTGAATTCCAAAAGTGCTTAGCCTGGGGACCTCTGCTGTCATGGGTAATGAAGTGGGTCATGGTCGGGGGATGGCGTGGAGCACATGACCCAGCAGCCCAGGCTCCGATCCCTGGCCCTGGCATCTCCCAGGTGTGGTCCCAGGCATCTTAGAGCATCCTGCATCTCATCTGCCAGGCCAATCTAACCGCAGAGATGGAAGTGCAAACTGGCAGAGAATCCAAGAAGTTAGTCACACCTAGAGACAGGCCTATCTCTGAGGGCCAGCCAGGCTTTGGGGAGAGAGCCATTCCTCTAGAAATCTCTGCTGACACCTGACTTTTTCCCTCTTTCCCCACACCTCGGTACAGGAGCGCTTCTTCTGGGTGGAATCCTCTACTCTTGGCAGTTCCCTCACTTCAATGCCCTGAGCTGGGGCCTCCGTGAGGACTACTCCCGGGGAGGCTACTGCATGATGTCTGTCACCCACCCCGGGCTGTGCCGGCGCGTGGCACTGCGCCACTGCCTGGCCCTCATCGTGCTGTCCACTGCCGCCCCTATCCTGGACGTCACCACGTGGACCTTCCCTGTCATCTCGCTCCCCATCAACCTGTACATTTCCTACCTCGGCTTCCGATTCTACAGGGACGCGGACCGCAAGAGCTCACGGAGACTGTTCTTCTGCAGCCTGTGGCACCTGCCGCTGCTGCTGCTGCTTCTGCTTACCTGTAAGCAGCCAGGTGGGAAGGGGGGCGAGGGAGAGACTCTGAGCTGAAAGCAGTGTGGGAAGAAACAGAAACAAAACACACAGGAAGATGCACAAATCTTTTCCCTTTGCTGTTAGGCAAGAATATTTTGGTAATTCTGGAGCACTGGTTTTAGTACCTGATTATGAAAGAATTTGGTGCTCAGTCATCACCTGTTTGTTTTTTTATATTAATATTCAAAATGCTTCCCACATAAGAAATGGGTTAGCTCAGTCAAGACAAAGAATATTTTTCTTTTTGAGAGTCTTTATGCATCTTTCTCTCCAACCTCATGCCCTATTTTCTAGTCTCTCACATGCGCGCATCTTCTTTGCTGGGGCGTGCGCATAGACACACACACACTCCCCACCTAGCCACACAATGGCAGTTGGTGGTCAGACAGGTGAGCACTTGTAACCCGACCTCTGTAGTTCTGTATCCTCAAGGCTAGGGCTCTCTCTCCAGGGCCACCTCAAAAGAAATGCACACCCACAGTGGCTCCAGCACTCCCTCCCCATGAATGAGCCAGGGCTCTGTCCTGCTTTCTCTATCCTACATCTATCCCCAACCACTTAGTCCTTCCACAGGCTAACTCAACACACAGGCTGCTGCACATCAGGAGGGACGATTCCAAACGGTTGCCACAGATTTGCAGGCTGGACTGACAGCCCCTGCTCCCTCACCCCTGTTATATATCAGGATGTCACCAGGATTTCAGGAGCCCCAGTGGGCTCTCAGTATTAATGGATCCAGTCCTGGAAGTTTTGTGAATTACTCTGTAGCCAGGTGTGGCCTCTGGTACCAAGCATGGGCCCCTTGAAGTCGTCAGTCCTCCGTTTGCTCCCCCAGGTCCTCACTGAGCCCCAGGTACCTGAAGGTTTGATGCTTAGCAGAATGTTTGAATTACTCAGTCTCCTGGGGTACAGCTGCCCTGGGAGGATCCGTTCAGGGGCTCAGCCACTTAAACAGTTGTGATAGAACTGTCTCAAAAATGTCAATGGCTGGGGGTATAGCTCAGTGTCGAGAGCTTACTTAGCCATGCTCAAGGCCCCAGGTTTGATCTCAGGCACCACAAGAAAAGAAAAAGAAACGTCGAAAGTGATTGCAAATAGCATCCAATACCTGTTTCTGCCTACCTGAACTATTACCTCTTGCTGTATCCAGGTTATTTACTGTGACCAACATGGCATAGGAATGTCCGTGAAAACTACCTACAACTTACTGCAGTCCTTATTTGTGAAGTGTGTTGATTCTCCTACTGCAATAAAACAGTGTGTAAGAACAGGACCATGTTGATGTGTTCTTTAATCCTCCTGTGGCAAGTGTGCGATGTTCCTGTACTCCTTCATGAGCTAGCAGAGAGCTACGTGGCACGTGGTGTTTCTCTTTTTTTCTGTCTTTAGTTGTAAACTGACTAATTAATAGTTGTATATATTTATGGGGTACAAAGTGATAAACAATTTATGAATAGAGTGTGGAATAAATACGTTGAGCTAATTACATCCATTATCTCAAGTAATCATTTTCTGTGGTGAAAACATTTGAAATTTAATGACTTTGAAATGTACAGTATGTCATTGTTGACTTTATTTGCCACACTGGGCAATGTATCACAGAGAAAAACTGTATTCCTCCTGCCTAATTGAGGCTTTGTACACTTGGGCCATTATCTCTCCACTTCCCCTCATCCCCAGCCTATAGTAATTGCCATTCACCTCTCTGCCTCTGTGAATTTGTTTATTTTTGATTCCACATAAAAGTGAGACTATGTGGTATTCTTTCCTATGCCTGGCTTATTTCACTTAATGTAACATTCTCCAGTTCCATCCATTACTGTTGTAAGTGACAGGGTTTCATTCTTTTTCTGGCCAAATAGTATTCCTTTGTGTTATATGTACCACATTTTCTTTACCTGTTCATCCATTGTGAATCCTGCCATCACTTGTATCTGGAATGATCCCTCAAAGACCCACAGCTCATGGTGCTATTGGGAAGTGGTAGAACCTTTAAGAGAGGGGGATCAATAGAAGGTCCTCTGGTCACGGGAAGCATGCCCTTGAAGGGGATAATGGGACCTCAGCCCCTTCCTGACTTTTTCACTTCCCTGACTATAGTGTGAGTGGAGTTGTGCTGCTTCACAGGCCCCAAATGTCAATCAGTCATGGATAGGCACCTCCAACCTGTGAGCCAAAAGAAACCTCTTCTCTTTATAAGCTAATTATCTCAGGTGTCTATTATAGAAAGCAGACTGACATACCCCCAACCTACCATTGTGCTCAAAAATCATCCATTCTCTCCCATCTTCCTCAGACCATCACTGAGCAGTTTTCCTTGGGGCCTCTGAGCTGTCATTCTGCTGCTCAAAAACTCCCAGTGGTGTGCTATGTGCAAGCCTGATATAGTCCAGACTTCTCACCTCTCAAATCTCAACTTGGTCTAGTATCTTTGGCAGCCATCTTCCATGTGAAGCCATTTCACTGACTCTCAGTTGTTCCTCATGCCTCTCTGAAGGCCCCATCTCCTCTCAACCCTCCTGTCTATATGTCCCCAAGATCCACATACGCGGAGCCCTCTAGAACAGTTGCTCCATTACTCAGACTCCCATGGCTCTTGTTTTCCACACTCACCTTGAGGCTTCTTTTTTTTTTTACGGCACCGGGAATTGAACCCACGGCCTTGTGCATGCCAAGCAAGCACCTCTACCACTTGAGATACGCCTCTAGTCCTTTCCCTTGTATTTTGTTTTTGAGACTGGGTGTGACTAGCTCTGCCCAGGCTAGCCTTGATCTCCTGATCCTCGGCCTTTGCCTCCCATATGGTGAGGAGACTCTATCTCCGATGCCACCATAAGAACTCTGCTCGTCAGCATTTCCTGTTGGGTGATGCATCTGTCTTCCAACAGATGCATCTTTAATCAGATATCCTTGAAAATACTGCCCACTACACCTCTCTTTTGTCCCAAAGCACATGTACATAGCAAGACGTGGGGAGTTCCCATTTTGTTTTGTTTGTTTAAAAAAAAAATCCAGGCTTTAGTGACTAACACCTGTAATTCCTAGCTACTTGGAAGGCTGAGATTGGGGTATTATGGTTGTAGGGCAGCCCCTGCAAATGGTTTGCAAGACTCTATCTCAACCAATAGCTGGGCTCAGTGGCAGGTGTCGTGTTATCCTAAGATACATGGGAGGATGAGATCATGGTTTTAGGCCAGCCTAGGTAAAAAAAGTTTATAAGACCCCAGACTGGCGTGGGCAAAAACCCAGACTCTTACCTCTGAAATAACTAGAGCAAAAGGGCTGGCAGGAAAGGCTGAAGTGGCCGAGTTCCTGCCTAGCAAGCACAAAGCTCTGGGTTCAAATCCCAGTTCCGCCAATTTTTTAAAAAGTTAGTGTTTATGTAAGTGAGTATTTCTCAAACCTATTAGTGCCTCCTGTGTAACTCTCCTGGAGCAGCATCAGTGGTCAGGTAGCACAGCCTGGGAAAGGCTGCCCAGATCAATGAGGATTTTATACAGGTCCTTCAGGCCAGCCCGTGGGGGACGGTTGGTTACCTGGTATAGGTTCCACATGGTGTGAGAGAAGGCACTTGAGATTTTAGATGGGACTTCTAATTATTCTATAATACAGCTAACTAATGAAAAGGAAAAAGGGACACACCCAGCCCTTTAACTCACTATTTAAGAAACATGATTCTTAACAGTGCAAAAGGCTTGCAATCTGGTTTGAATTTTTTTTTTTTTACTATGGTATGACAGCGATACACATTGAGTAGAGACTATACCGGGCAGTGTGAATTTTGATCTTTTCCAGGGTTACCCGTGTGTGTTCTGATCATCCCTGCTGTAGCAGCTCGCAGTCAGCCACGCACTCACGGGAAACCATCCACACTCCAGGTGTCTTGTGTTGCTAAACTAAGGTGTTTGGTAGGCTCAGTATGCTTAATGCATTTTCCACTTAGGAATTTTCAATTTATGACATACTTATTGGGACACCCCATTGTAAAGTAAGGAATACCTGAATTCCTTTTGATTTGGGGAAAATTGTAACAACTTCCTTTTTTTTTTTTTTAAATATAAACCTACTCTGCCAGTTAAGGATAAAACCAAATTTCACTGAAGGTCCCGTCTTTACAAATCTTCATCTGTGAGAGGAACACCACTGTCTGCTCTAGGATAGCTTTCCTTTTAAGCAAAAAACCAAAATTATCAGCTTGGCACAGTGGCTCACTATAATCCCAGCTACTTGGGATGTGGAGATCAGGAGGATTGTGTTTCCAGATCAGCCTTGGAAAAAAGTCATTGAGACCATCTCGACCAATAAAATGCTGAATGTGGTGATCTGCTTCTGTCATCCTAGCTAAGTGGGAAGCATAAATAGGATGATGTGGTCCAGGTTGACCCAGGCATAAAGACCCTATTCAAAAAACAACTAAAAGAAAAATGAACTGGGGACATGGCTCAAGAGGTAGAGTGCCTGTCTAGCAAGAGCAAGGCCCTGAGTTCAAACTTCAGGGCCACCAAAAGGAAAAAAAAAAGTAATGAAATCTGCCTCATCCCACCCAGCAGAAACACCTTTCCAGCATTTTAAATGTTTTGAGAAGCCTGTGCCCTGACTCATGGAAGAGAAAGTAAAGTTGTGGGGGGTTGGGCTGATCTCCACCCTGCAAAGGGTTTCATTCACAGCAAGAATAAAATGCAAAGAGCTTGCCATGGCCCTCACAGCCACCTGTGACCTGCCCCTGCTCCCCTCCCTGATCTCAGAACTGCCCTCCTGCCCCACCTCGACTCTACCCATAGGCCTCCTCACTTCTCCCCAAGTGCTTGAAGGGCACCCTTCCTGTGCATTCCCACCTCCCGGTCTCAGCCTGGAGTCCTCTCTCCTTCTCTTCTCTTCTCATGGGTCTCCTTCTAACTTTGTCGAAATTACACCTCCTTGGAGAAGCCATCCTTGGCCCCCTTATCAAACAGCATCCTCCACCTCACCCCCAGCATTTACTCCTTCTAACACTTATCACTATTGGACACTATAGCTATTTATATATTTCATGACCTAAAGCTTGGCAGAGATGAGGACTTTATCTTTGCATTGCTTTATTAGCATCTAGAACAGTGCTTGACACAGGTGAATGCTCAGTAAGTACTTTTTGAATGAAGAGAAGGCCAATCCACTTGGATCATTTGAGACCCCTGTGGTCAGAGGTCTGTTAGCCTAGAATAAAGAATGAGCCAATTTGGAAAAGCATTTGAGACATGTCATTACATGAGAAAAGAAGACTTCCAAATAGAACTTATCAAGCTGGTAGGGACAGTCCATTCCCACCCCACCTGCAGGACTCCATCCTGGGACTGCATCAACCAGGACACACCCCAGCACTTCCAGGCCACCGACCCACAGCCTCCACTCGTTTCTGTATTTTACCTTCTCTGGACATCAAGCCATCACCCATCTTACCTGCCACAATTCCTGAGGTATTCATCTCCTGGATATATTGAGCATCCTCGATCATAAAGTCCAAAACCTAAAATGCTCCAAAATCACAATCTTGTACATCAACCTGACACCACAAGTGGAAAATACCACACTTGGCCTCATGTGCAGGTACACTAAAAATAATAAGATTATTTTCAGGCTCTGTGTATAAGGTACATATGAAACAAAGAATTTTGTATATAGACTTGGGTCCCATCCCCAAGAATCTCCCCAAAATCCAAATAGTTCAAAATCCAAGCCACTTCTGGTCCCAAGCATGCTGGATACTAAACCAATGTGTAGCAAATCTGTTCCACCTCCCTTTTCATTGGCTGTCGCCCCTGTGTCCCCACCATCCAACCTCAAACTCAATCAGGATGGAGTGTGTTTCTCACTGCTGTGTCCATGGGCACCTAGCACATGTCCATGTGACAGATGCAGCATCTGTAACAGAAGGAGTGAATGAGTGGCTCGAGGTAGAGGTGGCAGGAGTGCTCCAAAGGGGGAGAACAGCACACACTGTCCCATGTGACAATGGGGGTAGATGCCCCTTTCTACGTGTTTTGTGAAAAATACTACCAGAGTTGAGCCAAGACAAGTTCCTATCATTTCTTCCTAGTGTCACTCAGTTGTCAGTCTTTAAGAATTGTGTCAAGTTTTCATCATTTCCTGTATCTTTGGAACTAAGTCAGTGCTTCTCTTGGGCCCTATTTCTCTCGGGCCCTATTTCTCTCTCTTCTTTTTCAAATATGTTAGCACAAAATCTTTTGTCTGTCATCTAAAGTCATTGTCTTAATTTCCATCATTTTTTTTTGAGATGGTGTCTTGCTTGCATAGTCCAAGCTGGCCTGCAACTCACAGTCCTCCTGCTTCAGCCCTCATTAGTGCTGGGATTACTAATGAGCACCATCACACGTAGGTCTTCTCACCAGGCTTGAGCTCCACCACCTCCAGTGTACGCTGAAAGCCAGCATCATTCATGCACTCAAGTCAACTTAACTGAATGGAACCCCTCCAGGTTCACCATCTGGGGTGCTGCCTGAGGGAGAAGCCAAAGGAA